TTCCAAATTCAGATTTCACAGGTCATCAAGGTAATTGGTGTTTAGTGGCTGAGGATGGTTGTGGACTCCACGATGGTCATAACACGAGTGTTTAGTGGCTAAGGGATGATTTAACTGGCTGAGGCAAAATTTTTTGGAAGTGGAGTTTGTGCGAATTGATCAGGTTCCAAAATTGCAGGTGCAAAATATAGCTTGAATTTCGCGTTACAGGAAAATAATGATCGGTACGCTCTCCTAGGTTTGGCGAGCTGATGACGTGGCATCTAAATGACTTCATAGATGAGAAAATCATCAAACGGCCCCAAATGGATTTGAAATTGACATGAGTGGGCTTAGGGGGTCTACACGAGAGGGCCTAACCCAACTGGACTATCTGCATATGCTATTAGTGGTTGAATAGTGCCTAAGCCGTAGGTGAGTTTGGGCCTTACCTTGATCATCGGCCACGGAAAGTCCCACAAAGCCCGAGCGCCAGACGTGTTAGAACGAGTCATAAGCCCATTTCTTAACACCGAGTTGTTATTTGGGTCGGTCGTATTCAGTAAATGGGTCATAAATAGATGTAAACATAATACATGTGTTAAATAGGTCATAAATGGGTTTACAATTTACTTAAATTCGACCAACTTCCATGGCTCTCTCCTCATTCGCCTTTTGCATTCACTCGATCTCGCTTTCACTTATTTTGCACTCTCACCTTAGTTTGGATATGCGTTTTCCTATATGGGTCGGGTATGGGCCAAGTCGAGTATGGATCACTATATTTGCATTGCATGGAAAATGGATCAAAACGGATTAAAATGGGTCTATTTGGGTCAAACAATTTTCGAATTGATCCACTCGTTTGATGGGTCTACCGAGCGCTTCCACCTAAATCGAACAAAATATCACATGATCTGTGCACTGGACAGAGGAAACTCATCTCAACCGCTGATCATGTGAGCCGCACGAAAAAACCCATTTAATTAATAATCGAGATGATATTATCTGTAGGCCACGCAAAAAACTTCTCCTCCAGACCCGTCCGTCGATCAGGTTTCCCTATATTTTCCATCTTTTTGGCATGTATGGTCGCGCAACCGATATATTCAAAGCTTTACTTCAAGGGGTCAGGCAGGATTGGCTTAGTTGATCTCGAAACAATTTCTTATTTTAGCTTGACTTTGTTTTTAGGTCAGAATAGCTTCTCTTTTTGGGTTTGGAAGGCCCTACCGATTCAAACTTCCACGTTTGAAGGGACGACGCAAGCGTTGCAGTAGCAGTTCAGGTCAATCTGTAAATTCTGCAGATCTTTCCTCCTGTCTTCTTGGTCTCCTGAAGCTTTTCTTGCTTGCTTCTCTACTTAAAGAAAGTTCAGAGGAAGGTCGACACGAACCAAAACCCAAATCATATGCGAGTCGTGTATGGTTTTGCATGCTCTTATGTGCATTGGCTGCGATATATAAATCTGGAAATTCGACACAAATATTTATGGTTGTATTCTTTATATTGACCAAAGTTATTTGATCATTTACTGATAAAAAAAGGAGGTTATCTTGATTAGGTTTTTCGGTTGGACTAATTGGAATAGGGAATTTTATTCAAAGTGACGGCGCATGGTACTCAAAAACACATCGGATCATGCTTATATCACTATAAATAAGGCTTGCATATGTGTATTTTATCGTTTACATATGATTGCGCACAACTCTTTTATGTGCCTAAATGAGCATCTCTTTCTTTCTATGAGACCGTTATCATGACTTATCTCCTTCTCGCGTGCTTGTTGGCTGTTGCAACGTTGTGATGAGGCTTGTTTTAGTAACTCATTATACTTAATAGATTACACTAGCTAGACGTGATGAATTACACCTCGATGTAGTCTAAAATAACGTACGAATGCCGTGCAATTTTATAGGTTATGATACGTATTTACTGACATATGTGCATGTGCATCGCGTGCGTGTGAAAAAATTGATATTGGCGAGATTAGCAAGTTATTTTATAGTGAAATACTTATATAACTAATTAATGTGGAAAGAAATTATGGGTTAAACTATTTTAAAGAAATTGTGTATGTGGGCGTGTATAAATATCTCAAGATTTGAATTTTCTTTAGGAAGGTTGTTCTAGGATAAAAAAATTAAATTTTAATATCGAAACATGTAAAAGGATTAAATATAATTATTAATATGCCCATTTGCCCATGAGTGCAATATTTATCACGTAAGTATATTGAGGATCTTTGAGCATGAAGGAAAAAGGATTTGAAATCCCTAAAAGGTAAGAGGTCCTACTCCATTTTTGCGGTGGATTCACTTCCAATCTTCAAGAAGGAAAATCAATCAAGATTTGTGAACATACGCGCTTACTTTACTATCCTGTGAACTCTGCTATCTGGTGGAGGTTTTATCTGGTCAAACGAAAGGTCTCTTACAGTACTAAAGAAACAAAACTTTGAATTTGAAATGAGACTTTTCAACGTAACTTACTGCATAGACTATGATATTTTGCTGTTGTTTCCACATGATGAGCTTTTCGCCTTTCTGTGACATGGGTAGGATGTTAGTATTAGGTTATATCTGGTCAAATGAAATGTCTCTTGCGGTACTAAAGAAACAAGACTTTGAATTTGAAATGAGACTTTTCAGCGTAATTTACTGCATAGACTATGATATTTTGCAATTTCGCAATACTAACATCCTACCCATGTCACGGAAAGACGAAAAACTCATAATGTGGAAACCACAGCAAATTCAGGGAAGAACCTTTCGTCTTGTTAATGATAGCGTTTATTCGGGCTGTGCCTTCCCTCTCCTTTCACTCGGGTCATTTTGTCCCTTTGCTTCAGTCCATTCTTGGACATTTATGTAGTGTAAAAACATAGAGGATAAGCATATATATATATATGTATGTGTATGTATACATATGTTACTGAACTGAACCTTCATATATAGAAGGCAAAGTCCATGTATAGATTAAGGGTTTTGTGAATATTAATGTAGTCCCAAGTCAGTTGGATTTCTGTGTTTTTCTAGCATGTTCAACTTGACTGATGAGTCGTTAGGTTCCATCTATGAACCCGCCTTTATATATGAACTAATGACACCATTTTTTTGAGAAAACAAAGGTCAAGATTAATCGAATTCTAGGTCAACCTGCTTTAGAGGCAGTAACATCGAAACCGAGTCGCAATTCAATTGAAATTTCATTCTTCATATCTCCAAATAGAAGCAAATTAGGTCCTTCCCTTCCATTCTAGATGATCCCACGGTCCAGAAAGAACGTGAAATCTCAAAGTGGTTTGAAGTTCTCGTGCAGACTGAGAAACCGTGTTAATGATAAGCTGATGAAGATTTTCCCAGAATGTTCCTCCACAACCCTCGAATTTTCCCTGAAAATCATCTTGGCTAAATCGTGCGAACTGGGAAGTAGCGCAGAAACTTGTGATGTTGCTCGCATTGTAACATTGACCAAACGGCGTGAAGTATATTCTTTCTGTTCTGAAACTAGGGTGCCTGCATCCGACTGCACATCATGCATGCATACATACGTTCAAAGTAGATTCTCCATGGATGCTAAGTGTCGAACTCTACGTTCAGAGTATATTCTCCATGGATGTCAAGTGTCAACCCCTCGCTATCCTCTTCCTTTCCTTTTGTTTGTCCCTCTCCTTCCTCTCCTTTTCATTCCTTTCCCTTTTTCTTCTTTATCTCATATTCCGTTTGCATCTTGTAAATCGAAAAAGACCCCTCAGGCCTTTACGCAGGGACTTGACGATTTGCATAAGGAAGTGGCGCCGCGCCGCGTCGTAGTAACGATACGACTCAATCCTCGATATCCTACTAGTATGAGTTTATGTTAAATGTGTGTTTTGTAAAGAAAAACATATATTTGTATATAAATATATATTTCATCCATTTAAAGTTCACTTTATTGATTATATTTAGTTCTTATAAGATGAGAATAGGTGGCAACTTTCGACACGACATCATTTTGGGGGGAATGTTAGCATGTATACGCTTCGAAATCAGAAAATCTTAATCCATTGCACATGGATCTTTGTCGTTGCACACATGTCAACACCCCAAATATGATTCGTGGAAATGGGTTTTTTCTATTGTTTTCCATTGACGAAGACATGGTCAAAATCGTGTGGAGAGCAAGGGGCATCGGGTTTATTCCTCATATTCTCTTTCCTTATATTCTTTAATGGGTTCAAATTGGTCTTACCAAGCTTGGCTCAGTGGCTTAAGGTTGTACTTATTGTTCAAACACTCAACTCAATACACATAATCATTTTTGTCTCCTTTTCTTTCCTTTGGAATATGCTATCCCTATACTCGTGTGGATCGTAATCTAGCATGGAAAGTGAAAATCCCAATTCATGCATGACCATGTTTTTCGACGCGGACAGTGACAAACTCTGCTCGGTGGAAACCCTATTCCGACAAGCCAAGAAGATACACGTAATGCCCATGTTCATCTGTCACACAAGACCACCTAATATTTTAACGTTGGACCCGACGACTTCGGAAGAGGAGAGCAACAGTCAAGTTCAAATCTTGATCGTCCATTCCTCTCGAGTGCATCACCGCTCTACTTGAACGTGGTTGCTCTGAAACTCTGCCGGTAACTTCCAAAAGCTTTCTCGATCACATTGTTTACCGCCAACTCAGGTACGCGTCGATGCCACCGTGTGTCTCCGTAGATTTTCACTCTCTCAAACCCCACATCGTGAAAACATTGAAAAGGACATTTTTTCATCTGGGTTTCTCCTAGATTGTGCCGATAATGTAGCTGTCAGTCATTTGACACGGTTCGTTGGTTAGTTAATCTTGGTTTTTATTGGGTAATTTTCGCCCAATCTTCTTGTGTGTGTCAGTCCTATATTCAATCCAAAGGACAGAGTTCTTGGCGCTTGGAAGTGTCCAAAATGCAATTATTATTTTGGCTCACGCAAGAATGTAGTTAAAGATCTGACCTATTTTTGGCTGGTTTTTCTTGCTTTTTGGAGCCCAGATAGAATCTATTTGTTTTACTTTAGTGAAAGTCATGGAGTTTGTTTTCAAAGTTGAAGCTTCTTTGTACCTTCCATAGTGGTGGGCCAATCTTGACTCCCTATATATTCCCTGCTGGTTCAGCAGTACTGGTTGCTGTACCTCTGAACACTGCAAGTTTTAGAACTGATGATGTTGAAGAGGCAACTTCAGGAGGAGGATAAGGAGGGTGGTTCTGGATTTTCGGCTCGAGGATCAACAAGAAGGCCTAACATTAAGTAGAATTACTTTACTAGGGATCATTGTATTCCAATTTTAGTGTCTGACTGTGAATTACTGTAACAGACCCTGATTTAGATTCTTGATTACTTTGCAGTTGTTGGAGAAATGTGATCGGAGGGCGTTCGCCGGATGAATTTGCATCTCTTCTCGAGCCTCTCTTTCGGAAAGTGGTATGCTATCTGTATTAGCCACTAGCTGTGTTGCTTGAGAAGAACTAAGTCTGGTTCTTCACAGATCGATTGAAGATATCATATACTGCTATGCTTAGTATGAGACTCTTTGGTTTTTTCAATATGATGTTTGGTCGCATGTCATGGATGTAGTTTGGATTTCTATTGAGAAGGTTGTTTTCTAATGGTAATTTGGATGTTTGGTCAGCTAAGTGGGCATTTTAATCTCGGTCACTTCAATTATAATCACCAACTTATATGGCGCAGGCAAAGTACTTTTCCATCTCAAAGATGTAGAGGCTTTTGTCAAAGTCTTGCTCCTTATGAAGATACTTCATGAAGTCCGGATGTGCTCTACTATTTCATATTAAGAATGTTTCCATTATTTGTTTCTGATGTGTTTTGTTTGTTGGGTTCATTTCCATGGATTAAAGATCTGAATCCTGTCTCATAACTATATTCCAAATATAAAGTTTTCTTTGTTGCCCCTGACCTCTGTTTTTTTCCATAAAGGGAATGAATTTTTTCATCGGATGATCAAATGAATTCTTCTTTTTTCTAGCTATTTATTTTGATAGGTAGGCTATGCAGAAGTTCCTTGTATTTGAAAATATTTCACCCTAGGAACGTAAAATTTGCCCTGCATGTAGTATAACCAAATCACTTTGTGATCGGGATGCTAAACAGGTCAAAACTATTGGTATTGTTAGAAAATTTTACTTTGAATCTGATATAGATTCTGGATCAAGCAGGTTAGTGAGGAAGTGGAACGTGTGATCTCGCGCTTTCATGATCCGCTGTCGAGGTCAGTGTTCCTGGTATTCCTGCTTCAAACTCCAAGGTTGAGTGCGAATGAGAGGAAGCATATTGATCTTCTTTCGTATTAGTATCATCATACTAGACACAATCTGGTTTCAAGTTCAAGATAAGTTGTTTACCAACATCATATCGACACTTTAACATTCCTTACGCACAGAGAATTTATCTATTTCTAGTCTATATCGCAGAGCGCCGTCTAATCCTGTTGGAACTTCTGAAGCAAGCAGTCTGCGACTGCAATTTGTCAACAAATTACCGGCAACCATCTTCACTAGCAGTCAGATAGAAGCCGAGGATGGTACTCCTCTCAGGATTGAACTAGTCGATGGCAGGACAAATGATAGGGTTACAAGTGGGCCCCTATCTTCGATAAAGATCGAAATCGTTGTCCTTGATGGCGATTACGGGTCGGATGAGGGAGAGGATTGGACCGAGAAGGAATTCAATCGCAATATCACTCGCGAAAGGGAAGGGAAAAGGCCACTGATAACAGGGGAGCTGACTGTGATGATGCAAGGAGGAATTGGTTGCCTCCGTAATTTAATCATCACCGACAACTCGAGCTGGATGAGAAGTCGGAAATTCAGGTTAGGAGCTCGAGCTGTTCAAAAGGTTTCTGCAGAAATAAGAATAAGGGAAGCAAGAAGTGAAAATTTCGTCGTTAAAGATCATCGAGGAGAGCGTAAGTTTGCAATGCCTTGGTTTCGATGCCTTCCATTTTACAATAACATTTTGATTTTTTACCACCAATTCTTGATTCTATTTGTAGACTTAGAAATTGACAAGTTTTCTCTGTTATGTCCAGTGAACAAGAAGCACCACCCTCCATCACTGAGCGACGAAGTATGGCGTTTAGAGAAAGTAGCCAAAGATGGCACTCTACAGAAGCGCATGACTTCAAGAGGAATCAACACTGTTCAAGATTTCCTCCAGCTGTATGAAGCCGATGCGTCCTCTCTAAGAAATGTAGTGACCATTTTGTTCGAGCTCTGCTAATTTCCCTTTTTCCTGTACACATTATTCTAAGCATTGCTAACTATCAAATCGTACTACTTTTGTGGTGCGATGTTATTTCAGATACTTGGCAATGGGATCCCCAAGCGGACATGGGAGACGATTGTCAGACATGCCAGCACCTGTGTGGTCAACGATAACAAGATGTACGCTTTCTACCAAGCTTCGAACAAGGCCAGTATACTGTTCAATTCGGTAATGAAAGTTTCTCAAGTAACACTCAACGACCAAACTTATCAGTCGCCAGACAAATTGACCCGCTCTCAGAAGGTACATAATTCATAACCTGAAACTCCTCTATCTTGTAGCTGAGTGTGAATCTATCTGGAGCTATATAAGGGCCTGTATTTATCGGACTAGTCCATTTCCACGGCAGAATATATACCACAACCACTTCTCTTTTTATTCCTGAGTATTCGTTTGATTTTGGATTTGATTGAATCTGCTGCTTGGTCGACAGATTTTGGTGCAGAACTTGAAATGGCAAGCTTACAATAACAAGAATCAATGGGTGCCGCTTGATGCCCTACCCAGCATCACTCCTCTGAGAGCCCTGACCAACTTGCCTACAGAGCCATCAATCGGCCTGAGCCTGCCTCTTCATCATCTAGATTACACAGAGCTAAACCAAGGTATTGTGATATTACATCACTTCTATCTATCTTTTTCTTCTTGGCCTTCTCAATCTTGCACAGTTTAGTGTTCCTAATTCTTTTATTAGCACATCCACCGTTTTGCACATCTATGGTACTGAAACCGAACCGCATCTTTATTCAGATAGACCAGAAGTGACTTCTGAATTTAATTACCTATTGGCTTCAACATCGCACTGCCAGAATGTCACAGAGGACAAACAATTAGGTTGTCTGGGGCCACAGAGTCATATCACAGCAAAAATCTTTGATCCGACCATAGTAAACAGCTTAGCAAGTCAGGACTTTTTATCCAGTTTTAATGCTGGCGAAAGCAGTCATCTTCCCGGTTACTCACAAGGACTGTTTGCGCCAAACATCCATTTGTCTCCTGAGGAGCTTTTCAAAGTGCCATCTCCGATTCCTGGCAATTTGATGTGGACACCGGACCATACTTTCGTCATTGAATCAAGCAGCGGGGCAGATTTCGGGATCTGTTCATCTCGCACGGGTTACGGAGTCCGCAAGTCTAGGTTTTCAAGGCCCAGGGCGGCATGGTGCAAGATCCGTGCCGTGGTGAAGTGGGGATCAGTCCGGCGCCTCGTGGCTGCAAAGAGAACAGCAATGTTCAATTTTGCACTTTATTAAGCTGTACACATGGAAAGTCCTACCTCCAAGAGAACTTTAGGTGCTTCGGGAGCATGAAGCTCTCGTCCACACAATCCAATCATCACGTGCGAAGTATCATTATTTTACAGAAAATGAAAAAGGAAAATCATAATACTTGACGAGTAATGATTGGTTTGGACGAATGAGAATGTCATGTTCGGGGAGCACCAAATTTCTCCAAAGCATCTAAAGATAAGCTGCCCTAGATGCATCAATTTCGTATTATGACTAAGCATCTAAGGATAAGTGCCAGTAGAACGTGTCTCTTTTGTATACATCACGCAAGCAGATCTTATGAAGTATCTCAAAACAAGGGTTTGTCTTCAAGAATTGTAAGCCTTTTGTGTTCTTCTTCAAGAATCGTTTGGCATTTTGTTTGTCCCAACCCATCAATCTCTTGATTTGTTTGTTTATTGCTCTTATATACTTAGCAGACTTTTCTTTGCTTCACAGGTGGATTAACTAATATGAATCGACCCTCAAGGTAAGTGGTCTAGTGGTAAAAGGAATCATTTGTCTTCTAGGATGTTACAAGTTTAATTCACGTCGTAAGCGAACCTTTAAACTACTCTTGCTAAGTTACCTACCTGTGTCATACTTGTGTCATATCCTACATGGAGAGACTTTCTGATGGCTAGCATTTTGATGAAATTATTGATGATGGGCTCGAAAACTTCAAAACTTTAAGTCATAGGTGGTGTCATGGTGTGGAATAATTATGGCTCGAACCAAATATTCCTATCGAGCATACGAGTCTTATGATAATGCTTAGGAGTCGTTGGCGTTGGTCGCCCCTTTTCTACTGATAAAACAAGAAAAACAGGGAACCAAGTGAAAGAAGGTTTTTGAAAAAAACCTCTATCTTCAACGATTCCATCACGAGTCATTACTGACTAGGAAAATTTTTCAGACATCGAGTTCTTGCAGATCGGTCATGTTTCAAAGCATTGACGCGCAGACAAGCAAGCCAATGGAAAAACACAACAGCTTTCCAAAATTCAAGTGCAATGCTGCTTGAGATTCGTATTACAAGAGCATAACGATCGACACTTTCTCCTCGAATTGATGAGCTGATAAGGCATATAATTGACTTCATAAATGAGAAAATTATCGAAAGAGTACAAGTAAAAATGAGATTATTAAGTAGGATTTAAGCTGTGGATGATTTTGGGCCTACCTTGATTCATTCCCGGAGATTCATGAATAGGTTAGCCTTTTCAACTACTGGTGATTGGTGAATCCATAGGCAGGCAAGGGACAACCTGGTAGACGAAGGAGGTTCTATCCCGTGTAAACGCTCTTTAATGGAACTTTAACTGTAGTTGATTGTGATCCACCGACAAATCACTAGGCTTAACCCTAGACAAGTAGTGGATACCCAAAATGGGCATGGGCTGGGGTTATCAACTTATAATCTACAATACTATGCTCGAGTTGAATTAAGTATGCTTGTATGTGTGATAGCATCTACTATACCAAAAATATCAATGAACCCATAATATTTAGTTTGGGGAGGAAGATTAGAATTAGTGATTGATCGAAAAGTGAGAATATGGGCTCGTGTGATTAGGAAATTCAAATCTAGGTCAATACCAACATAAACATTTCTAATGAAGCCTCTAACACTGTGCCAAATACAGGATTCCCAATCCTAGTAGGAAAGGGAGGGGAACGGATACTCACTCCACACGGCTGGACACTTCCATTTGATCGAAAAACATATTACACTTGACTGAACACCACGTATACGAAGCCCATCTCTACTGTTAATCATATTTGTCCACGGTGAGACACACATGACCGATACTTCAGATAATATTAGCTTATATTGCTTGTAGACCATGCAATAACTTCTCATATAGACCTGTCCACGTATAATTGTGTCACCAAATGTATTAAAGACAAGAATCTATTCTTTTTTCTGTCTTGTCCTACTCTAATTTTCAATTCGCTTTCAGACTTTTATCCTGTCCAACTTCGTCTCTTGGCAAAACGTGAAAGTTGAACTCCACACCAAAAATTAAACGTCCTCATCCTGAGCTCCCACCGAAAAAGTAGAAATTTGAACTCTCCACTTTACCCTTTTCCCCTTATGGAAAGGGTGGCGCCAACAAAAAAGAAACGAAAAGATAAGCTTCATTAGTCTCAAGACAACCTTTATAGCTTGACTTTTAAGGTCGCAGCAGCTTTTTGGCTTGAAAGGCCTTATTGATTCTAATTTCCACGTTTGAGGGGACCCAAGCGCGACCGCCGCAGTTCAGGTCAATCTGTAAATTCTGCAGATCTTTCCTCCTGTCTGTTTTCTGGTCTCCTGAAGCTTCTTGCTTGCTTCTCAACGAAAGCAAGTCAAGTGAAAGGTCGATGCGAGCCAAAAACCATATCATATTTTGAGCCGCGTATGATGTTTGTATGTTCTCATATGCGGGGTTGAGATATATAAATCTACGCATTAACGCGAATGTTCTTGTACATAGGCATGCATAATATCAAATCTAATTAAAGGTTTGAATCTTCATTTATTTCGAGAAAAATAAATAATATAGATAATATTTTCAAAAGATGATAACTTATATCGTTTGAAATAATTAGTCAATGAAAATATTCTCACCATTCACAATGATTTCTATCTATATGCTTTCGCTAGTGATGGATATTTTTGTTTCATATATTTTTATAAGAGATATAAATAATCATTTTTAGGAAAATGTCTACTAAATCATTTATTTTTCGCCGAAACAAACGCACTTTGTTAAGAAGATTTTTAAGAAACGTGGACCTATAATATCCAGGAAAACTCAAGTAGTTCTCGGACTTAGCAATTGATACCTGCGAAATGATGCAACGTGGCAGGTGAATTACATTTCGCCTCTCGGGTTTTGCTGCTTGTTGCAAATTGCCCCCCTCGCTTTTTAATTTTTGCAGTGTGCCTTATAAAGGTCTTGAAATTGGTTGCCATGTCCCCCTCCTTAGCATTGTTCTACTTTTCAACTGGACTCCGGTCGTGTGTTTGTCACGTGACTAATGAACTCCTCTCGCTAAGGGTAAATCTGGCCAACAACATTTTGCCCCCACAAACTTTTGGCGCTTATTGCAAGTTGCCCCCGACTTTTTAATTTTCGCAATTTCCCTTTAAAAGTGTTGAAAGTGATTGCAATGTCTTCGCCAGTGTTTTCGCGAAAGGGCTACACTACACCGTTAATAATTGCTCGAATCTAGCAGATACTATTAAGAAAATCAGTCAAATAACCGAACTTTGCTTCTTCTTCTTTTGTTTCGATCATGGCCTCCAAACGTGGCCCAAACTTTCAAAGGTATCATGTAATCAACCAAGATTTGCATATCATTTTTCAAAAAAATGTCCTCTTGGAGCTTGTAACATCGGGTAAGACATAAAGCAAATCAAGAAATGTAGAGAAAAATCCTAACACTAGAAGAAACAATACAATCTGCACGATTTGTTTATTAGCACAAATTAGCGTGTTTACTCTATAAGTCAATTATTTTGCTTGTTAAACAAAAGATATGATATTATAGCGCTAACATTGATCTATAAGAAATATAATACGAGTGTCAAATACTGATTCAGCGTGATGATGCCAATTTTTTTTATATTAAAAATACGAAATCATTATAAATATCTTACCTCGTGAGAGTCCTTGTATGAGCAAAATACTTGTAAATAAGAAGAAACGATTTTATAATTTCTATAACCAATTAAATTGGAAAAGAAATATTTAGTGAGAGAGGGATGAGTGGTCCAGCACGAGGTAGCCGCTTGTACAGGCTACCCAATAGCCACACACATGTACCGAGCGAGGGCAGAATAGGTAGCCTAAGTCGATCTCCGATGGAGATCAGATAAAAAAATTTGTCAAAATCGACGTCAATGTGACTTTGGAAACTCATTTTAATACTTTAGGGAGAACATTTGAAAGAAAAATGAAAAGTTTGGGGACAACCTACCACTTGTGTCAAAACCTGAAGGGTGAAATGTAATTTACGATTTGTTGTTAGATAGATTTGCTCTTTCTAAGAGAGCAAATTAGTCATGCCTCAAGTACATGGATGGAATTCCAATTGACAAATGGTCGGCACCAGAGGAACATTGCAACAGGTTTCAAGGCTTTAGCGAGACATTGCAAAAACTGAAAAGTCATGGACAATTAGCAATGAATGCCAAAATCTTGAGGTGAAAATGGAATTCACCCCAATGTGTCTCACTTAAACACGTGCACGAAAGAGTAGCTATTGCATAGTTTTAATTGAGAGTATCCAAGAAATTTTCCAACCAACAATATCGCGACAACTTGAAATTTTCACAGATGGATGTATTTTAATAATCACGAAAGTTTCTTGATTAATTACCATGAATAAGGCTCTCACATGTGTATTACGTCATATTTATGTTATTGCGTTTTTACGTATTGCCTAAATGAGCATCTCTTTCTTTCTTTTTTTACAGGGAGTTCCTTATCATGCTTTGTCTCCTTCTCATATACTTGCAACACAGACTATCTAGCCGTACTGAGGCTTGTTGAGTGACTCGTCATACTTAATAGATTACACTAGCTAGACATGATTTTACGTTCCCCGATGTAGTCTAAAATAACATATGAATGCCATGTGGTCTTATAAGTTATGATGTATGTATTCTAGTAAATGTGTACACGCATTGCATGTGCGCAAAAAATTGATAATTGGCAAAATAGCTTATTACGAAATATCTGAGTAATTCATATAAAAAGTAATTATTGGTAAAACTATTCCAAAGAAATGGTGTATGTGAAAAGGTAAAAATATCTCAAGAATTGATGTTTCTTTAGGAAGGTTGTTATAGGATAAAAAATATAAAATTTTAATGTCGTAACGTCTAAGAGATAAAATAGAATTATTAACTTATGCATGTGTGCATGGGTACAGCATTTGTCAAGTAAGTATTTGAGGATTTTTTAAGATGAAGGAAAAGGATTTGAGAGCCCTAAAAGGCGAGAGGTCGAATTCCATTCTTGCGGTGGGTTCACGTTCTAATCTTCAATATGGAAAATCAAATCGAGACCTTTGAACATACTCGCTTACTTTACTATTTGTTGAACTCGTAAGGTCTTATCTGGTCAAGCAAAGTGTCACTTGCAGTACTAAAGAAATTAGACTTTGAGTTTGAAATCAGACTTTTCTGTATAACTTACTACATAAAATATGATACTTTCGCAATTTCGCGACACTAACATCTTAGCAATGTCACGGAAAGACGAATAGCTGACTGAGCTTCACATTCATCTTAAGTTACGAGGAAACAGCAGCAAATTCAGCGAAAAGCCTTTCGTTCTGTCAGCGATAGTATTTCTCGGACTGTTCCTTCCCTTTCGTTTCAGTCGAGTCACTTCATTCCCTCGCTTTCTTACCATTCTTGGACATTTTATAATGCAAAAACGTAGAGGACAATACATAAATATATACATATATTACTGAATCGTGCCTACATATATAGAAAGCAACGTCCATGTGGAAATAACGGGGTTCGTGAAGGTTAACGTAGTCACGAACAAGTCAGTTGGATTCCTATGTTTTTCTATGAGCTTGCCTTTTTATATGAACAAATGACATTGTTCTTTTCAAGAAAACAAAGATCAAGATTAATATAATTCTTGGTCAACCTACTTTAGAGGCAATAACCCAGAAACCGAGTCTGAACTCCATTAAAATTTCACACTTCTCATCTCCACTCAAAGCAAATCAGTCCACGGTCCACAGAGAACATGAAAGTCAAAGGGGTTGAAGTTTCTGGTGCAGACTGAGGGAAAATGTCAATAATAAGCTGCAGAAGATTTTCCCAGAATGTTCTTCCACAACCCTCGAATTTTCCCTGAAAATCGTTTGGGCTACTGATACGAACAGGGAAATAGCGCGGAAGTCAACACGTGGATCCTCGTCATCGCACACATGTCGACATCCCTATGTTGTTCATGGAAATGGTCATCTTCCTTTGTTTTGCATTGACGAAGACATTTTAAACTTAAGATCGTGTGAGAGCAGGGGCATCTGGTTTATTCCTCATATTCTCTTTTCCTTATTTCCTCTATTGCCCGTATATGTTTCGACTAAGATTTTTCTACATCAGATGATACTAGGGTCAAATTGGTCGTACCAAGCTTGGCTCAATGGCTCAAGGTTTTCATTATTGTTTAAATGGGCTAATCCCCCAAGAAAAACCCAATTTTAAGGTTAATCCCTATTCTACCCCCGAAAATTTTTTTGTCCCGAAAAGAAAACTTCAACTTTCACTCTAGTTCACAAATTTGCTCATGTGTTCAAAAATTGCCGCCAGTTTATTCAAGGTTATCTACCTCGGGAGACTATTATTATTACATACGAAGGTGAGAGTACTAATGAAGACACGGGTCTGATGATGAACTTTTAACTAACCCATTGTTAATAATTTTGATGAAACTAGCGGCGATTTTTGGACAATGGGCAAATTTTATATTATAGTGAAAGTTGAAGATTTCATTTTGGACAGACAAAAAAAGGTTTAGAACAAAATTGGAATTGGACTTAAAGTTGAGAGTTTTTAAAGAGAAGTGAGCCTTGTTTAAACGCTCAAAACACATAATCATTTTAACTGGTTTCTTTCCTTTTCAAAATGAAATCCCAATTCATGCATGACTATGCTCTTAGACGCGGACGGTGGCAAACTCTGCTCGGTGGAAACCCTGCTCTGACAAACCAAGAAAACATACGGAATTGCCCACATACGCGTATCGCACAGACCTACCTAATATTTTAACGTTGAACCCAACGACTTCGCAAGAGAAAATCAACTAAAGAAAACGGGCAATAGTCAAGTTCAAATCTTGATCTTCCATTCCAATTGAGTACAACAACACTCTACATAACGCGGTTGCTCTGAAACTCTGTCTGTAACTTCCAAGAGCTTTCTCGATCACATTGTATACCGTCTACTCAGGTACGCGTTGATGCCACCGTGTGTCTCTACCCCGCATCGAGAAAACATTTAAAAAAGGAACATTTTTTTATCTGGGTATCTCCTAGATTGTGCCATTAACGTAGCTGTCAATCATTTAACGCGGTTAGTTAGTTGATCTTCATTGGGTAATTTTCCTGCAATATTCTCGGACGTCACTCCTGAATTCAGTTGATGAGTCCCAAGGGCGAGAGTTCTTGCTCTCGGAAGTGTCCAAACTGCAATTATTAATTTGTCACACGCAAGAATGTAGTCACAAATTTGACCTTATTTTCATTTGGTTTTGTTGCCCTTTGATGCCCAAATAGAATCTATTTGTTTGACTTTAGTGGATGTCTTGTGAATATTTTCAAGGTTGAAGCTTCTCTGTACCTTCCGTTTCTGTGGTGGACCAATCTTGACTCCCTATATAGTCTCTGCTGCTTTAGCAGTACAGGTTGCTGTATCTTAAACACTGCAAGTTTTAGAAACTTTGGACATGAATTTTAAGTGTTTTTGATTCTCTGGTGATGTTGAAGAGGCAACTTCCGGAGGAGGATAAGGAGGGTGGTTCCGGATTTTCGGCTCGAGGATCAAGAAGAAGGCCTAACATTAAGTAGCGTTACTTTACTAGGGGCCATTGTATTCCAATTTTAGTGTCTGCGACTGTGAATTACTATTCTTGATTACTTTGCAGTTATTTGAGAAATGTGACCGGAGGGCTGTTGCCGGATGAATTTGCATCTTTCCTCGAGCCTCTCTTTCGGAAAGTGGTATGCTATCTGTATCATGTCGCTAGCTGTGTTGCTTGAGAAGAACTGAAGTCAGGTTCTTCAAAAATTGATTGATGATTTCATATGCATGCTATGCTTAGTATGTGACTCTTTGGTTTTTTCTATACGATTTTAGGATTCATTTCATCTGGCTTAGTGATGTTCATTCAGCATGTCATGGATGTAGTTCGGATTTCTATTGAGAAGGTTGTTTTCTGTGGTGATTCGGATGTTTGGTCATCTAAGAGGGCATTTCAATCTCGGCAGCTTCCTTTATAATCACCAAAATATGTGGTTCAGGCAAAGTACTTTTCATCACAAAGATGTAGAGGTTTTGTTTATGTCTCGTTTCTTATGAAAGATACTTCATGGAGTCCTGATTCGCTTTTACAAAGAATGTTTCAATTATTTGTTTCTGAAGCAATTTGTTTGTTGGGTTCATTTCCATGAATTAAAGATATGTGAATCCTGTTTTCATAACTAATTTCCAAATAAAAATGAAATTTCTGTTGCCCCTTGCCTCTCTTTTTTTCATAACGATCAAATGAAAATTTCCCTTTTTTCTTATTTTCTGTGATAGGTATGCTAAACAGAAGTTCCTTGTATTAAAAATCATCACACTTTAGGAACGTAATATATACCCAGCACTAAGTAAAAAAATCACCCATTTATTATCGTGATGCTAAACAGGACGAAACTATTAGTTTGCTAGAAAATTTTTCTTCAAATCTAAGTTATATTCTGCATCAAGCAGGTTAGTGAGGAAGTGGAACGTGCAATCTCACGCTTTCTTGATCCATCGTTGAGGTCAGTGTCCCTTGTATTCCTGCATCAACCTCCAAGTTTGATTGCGAATAAGAGTTTTATTGATCTTGCTTCATATTAGTACTTTCATACCAGACGGTAATCTGGTTTCAAGTTCAAGATAATTTGTTTTCTGACATCATATCGACACTTTAAAGCATCCCTTATGCACAGGGGGATTTATGTATTTTAGTCTATATCACAGAGCGCCATCTATTGCCGTTGGAACTTCTGAAGAAAGCAGTCTGCGACTGCAATTTGTTACCAAATTACCGGCAACCATCTTCACTAGCAGTCAGATAGAAGCCGAGGATGGTACTCCCCTCAGGATCGAACTAGTCGATGGCATGACCAATGAGAGGGTTACAAGTGGCCCTCTATCTTCGATAAAGCTCGAAATTGTCGTCCTTAACGGCGATTTTGAGTCAGATGAGTTAGAGGATTGGACCGAGAAGGAATTCAATCGCAATATCATTCGTGAAAGGGAAGGGAAAAGGCCATTGATAACTGGGGAGCTGACTGTGATCTTGCAAGGAGGAAGTGGTTGCCTCCGTAATTTAATCATCACCGACAACTCGAGCTGGATGAGAAGTCGGAAATTCAGGTTAGGAGCTCGAGCTGTTCAAAAGGTTTCTACAGAAATAAGAATAAGGGAAGCGAGTAGTGAAACTTTTGTTGTTAAAGATCATCGCGGAGAGTGTAAGTTTGCAATGCCTTAGTTTCAATGCCTTTCATCTCGACAATATCATTTTAATTTTTGACCATTAATTCCTGATTCTATCTTTGGACCCTATAAGGACTAAAGTGTTGACAAGTTTTCCCTGTTATGCGCAGTGAACAAGAAGCACCACCCTCCATTTCTGTGTGATGAAGTGTGGCGTTTAGAGAAAGTAGCCAAAGATGGCGCTTTACAGAAGCGAATGACTTCAAGAGGAATCAACACTGTTCAAGATTTCCTCCAGCTATACGAAGCCGATGCGTCCTCTCTAAGAAACGTAGGAACCATTTCTCTTCAAGCCCTGGTCCCTGTTCATGTTATTCTAGACAATGTTAACTATCAAATCGTGCTACTTCTTTTGTGATGCGATGTTATTTCAGATACTTGGCCCTGGGATCCCAAACCGGATATGGGAGACAATTGTCAGACATGCCAGCACCTGTGTGGTAGACGACAACAAGATGTACGCTTACTACCAAGCTTGGAACAAGGCCAGTATACTGTTCAATTCGGTGATGAAAGTTGCTCAAGCAACACTTGATGGCCAAACTTACCAGTCACTACACCAATTGACCCCCTCTCAGAAGGTACATATATCATAACTTTACTATCAAGTAGCTGAGTGTCAATCTATCTGAAGCTATAGAAGGGCCTGTTTTTATCAGACTAGACCGTTTACACTGCAAAATGTATACCACAACCACTTCTCTTAAAATTCATAAGCATTTGCTTGATTTTGGATGTGATTGCTGCTTGGTCGACAGATTTTGGTGCAGAACTTAAGAAGGCAAGCTTACTATAACAAGAATCAATGGGTTCCTGTTGATGCCCTACCCAGCATCACTACTCCAAGAGCCCTGACCAATTTGCCTACGGAGCCGTTAATTGGCCTGAGCCCGCCTCTTCATCATCCAGATTACACAGTCCTAAACCAAGGTATTGTGATGTTGTCACTTCTATCTTTTTCTTCTTGGCCTTCTTAATCATTCATAGTTTAGTGTTCCTGTTTCTTTTGTGGCACACCATCATTTTGTATATCTATGGCAGCTGAAACCGAACTGCATGTTTATTCAGATATACCAGAAGAGGCTCCTGAATTTAGTTACTCATTGGCTTCAGCATCGCACTGCTACAATGTCACAAAGAACAAACAACTAGATTGTCTGGGGCCACAGAGTCATATCATCACAAAAACCTTTAATCCGAACATGGAAAACAGCCTGGCGAGGCAGGAATTTTTGTCTGGCATTAGCGTTGGCGAAAGCAGTCATCATCCTGGTTACTCACGAGGCCCCTTTGTGCCGAACATTCATTTGTCTCCTGAGTCTCCGATCCCTGGCAATTTGATGTGGACACCGGAGCATACTTTCGCCGTTGAATCAGGCGGTGTGGCAGATCTCGGGATCTGTCCATCTGGCATGGGTTTTGGAGTCTGTAAGACTGAGATTTCAAGGTCCAGGGCAGCGTGGTGCAAGATCCGTGCCGTGGTGAAGTGGGGATCAGTACGTCGTGTTGTGGCTGCAAGGAGAACAGCAATGTTCAATTTTCCACATTATTAAGCTGTACACATGGAAAGTCCTATCCCTGAGAGAATTTTAGGTGCTCCAGGAGCACGAAACTCTCATCCACACAAGCCAACCATCACGTGGCGAAGTATCATTATTTATACAGAAAACAAAAAAAGAAATTTATAATGCTTGACGCTCGATGATTGGCTTTAGTGGATGAGAATGTCTTATTTGCGGAGGACCATGTTTCTGCAAAGCATCCAACGACAAGCCGCCCTACATGCATCAATTCAGTATTATGCCTAAAAATCCAAGGACAAGTTCCAATAGGACGTCTCTTCTTTGTAAAGATCACGCAAGCTCATCTTATGAAGTACCTCAACATAAGGATTTTTCTTCAAGAATTGGAAGCCTTCTTGTCTTTCTTGTTCAAGAATTGTTCAGCATTTTGTTTGTCCCAACCCATTATATCTTGAGTCATTAGTTTATTGCTCTGATATACTTAGCAGACTTTGCTTTGCTTTACACAATTTGTGAGTACTTTAGAGTGAAACCATTAGAGTCACAAAGCCCAAAGTCCATATTTTGATATCTTCTGTTTTTTAATATCTAACTATGACAGAATTATGCATCTCTGTTCCAGTCAAATTCAATGGGCAAAAAGAAAATCCCCTTCCTAATTTGTACTCTCAAAATCCAGCAAAAATACAAATTGTGAGTAGCGAAATTGGCACCTACTTTTTTTTTTTTTGGTCGGAAAAATTGGCACCTACTTGAGTCACATTAGTTTAGACGGCCGGGAAAGTTGCTGGAAGGCCAGAGCAGACCTGTCTGTCTCAAATGCTGCTAGCCTACCAGCTCAAGCTGACCGAATGATAAAATCCAACCAGATCCAATCCTGTGCCATTGGTTCAAATGGATCATGAGATCTTAAATTCTTGCAATGACTCTTATGGGGTTGATACTCTGAAGATCGGAGGAATATGAATGCAGCTAGCTCATCAAGGGTCTTTTTTGAGAGAAATGGTTTGGTTCTGGGTATCCCCTCACATGAAGCACAAGAGAAGAGAACTCTGCACTTACAAGTCATTTAATTGGGAGAGTGAGTTATAACGGAAGAAATTGGAAGAGAACCAAAATAGTATACTTGAAGTTATGAATTTGTAAATGAAAGTATATCAGCAAACTAGCATGCTACACATGTTTTCAGGATTTTAATTGGCCATTATTTACTACTCCCACGGAACTTTTACGGTTTAAATTGACTTAATCCCTCTGAAACTTCACGTATATCCCCAAACAAGATGCAAAAAGAAAACGGTTTGAGTTCATTTGTTATAACTCTACTGCAAATATTAATTACACACCTACTGCACACTATACTCTTGTGCTGAGAAAGTGGAAGCCTGAACTGCAAAGTTTGGAGGTCTCTGCTGTGATAACTCTAAGGCTGGGACACGGGACTAGACTTTCTTTTGCAAAGGTCTGTGTTGGGGTGGATTTTGTCTAAAGAAACTGCCTAAGAATGTTCCTGTTCTGTTGGATGATGATAAGATGGATGGAGTTAAAGGAGAGCACCCTTGGGGTTTTAGAAAATGTGCTAATTGCTCCAAATCTGGTCATTATTCCAAAAAATAAGAAAATCTCGAAATGGATCCCTGAAATGGTGTCTTCCCATGAGGATTTGGCTGATGTGTCCTCTCCCAAGGTTTCCCAATCCAATGCTATTACAAAAATATCAGCTTGTCATATTCCCTGAATTGGAGGCAGCTTCTGTTGGCTTTGATAGTTAATATGGATGGTGCTATTCCTCCTGGTGAAGTTAAACTTTCTCCAGAGAAGACTAGGGCCGCTGGCAAGACTGCTGGTGAGGTGTGGAAGCAAGTCATCCATCATAAAAAAGGTAGAAGGAAGAACACTAATCTGGAAGCTGAGTTGAAGAAGCTAGATGGTATGTCTAGCTCCCTTTCTTTTTCTATTTTTTTCAATGTCTCTACATCTTGAACCTCAGCATATGGGTGCTTCGATTATGCAGAGAAAGCCTACTAAACTAACACTTACAAGGCCCAAGGTTACTTGGCCCAGAAACCGAGATTGACATTCGCGAAATCAAGTAGTCGCTACTCATCCACCCCAGAATGGAAACCGCGTTCATCGGCAACACAAGTCACAGGAACCTCGTGAGCGCGGGTGAATTCCCGGAGACCACAATCTTTGCAATTCTTTCCTCATGAATATAGTATGCTAGATTTTAAAAGGTTTTAATAAGCCCCATAAGTATAGAGTTGTTAAGGATCTTGTTAGAAAGAGTGATGTTCATTTGTTTTGTGTTTCAAAAACTCAAGTTAAAGAAGAAAATGATACCTAAACTACCAATAGCAGTTTCTCTGATTGGTCCCGTCTTGTAAAGTCACATTATGATACTTTCTACTTTTCTGTCACCTATGCTGCCGATAATCCTGGAGACAGGAAACAACGTTGGTATCAGCTCGCTGTGGTCTCTCGAACTATTTGATCACCCTTGGCTTCTTGCCGGAGATTTCAACGCAATTTGCTCCACCTCTGAAGCTGGTAACTCTTAACGATGATAAGCAATTGCTCTTTCACTTAGAGTGGCAGGACATAAATGCTATTGGCTAACTTCTTCATCTGGTGTAACAGAAGAACGGTGGAATCTGAGGAAAGGAAATTGGATAGGGCTCTGAGGGATGAGGCTTGGTTTCAATCTTTTTCCCTCTTTGCTCCTGATGTTTTGGATCACTGTCCTGCGTCAATGAAACTGGTTCCTGATGATCTCAAAAACCTCCAGGACCTTTCGAGTTCTTTAACCTCCAAGAGTAAAAGCGTTCAGATTATCTTCAGACTGTGGAAGGTGCTTGGCAAACGGAGAAGGTTGGCTCTCCTATGTTTTTGCCGTGTGATATGTGGGTTTCTCCTTACCAAAAGCGAGCAAAACTGGTCTTTCAAGGTTGGCTCAGTTAGCTTAAGGTTCCTAATTATTGTTTAAACACAACTTGATACACATGTATCATTTTTATCACATTTTTCACGCGGATCATAATCTAAGCATGGAAAGTGAAATCCCAAATCATGCATGACTTTGTTTCCAGACACGGACAGTGACAAACTCTGCTCATTGGAAACTCACTCCCAACAAACAAAATAAACATGCGTAATGCCCACGTGTGCTTATAATACAAAACGAGCCCAATTCCCCCAAGAAATTCCAATTTTAGGTGGCGTGCCCGTACTTTCCGTTTTCATAAAAATTCATGGATTTTTCACCTCGTATTCTAATCAGGCCCCTTAAACTTTTTCAGCGACGCCCGTCAATGGTCCGACGTGTCGTAATCTCATTTGTACATGACGTTTGCTTGCATGGACTTTTGACACCGCCGTTCCGGTCTTCTTCTTCTTTCCGTGCCCATGCTCCACCTCGTCACTGTTCATTATCGTCGTGGCATTGGGTCACTCGGCCACAGCTTCCGGCACTCACCCATCGCCGCCCGGACCTCCGACGACTTCTTAAGAGAAACTCAACCGGAGGAAATGGGCAACGGTGAGAGTTCAAATCGTGATCGTCTGCTCACACCACTCTCCAGGACGTGGTTGGTCTCAAACTTCGGCAGTATCTTCCAAAAGCTTTCTCGATCACACTATCTGTCGTCTACTTCGGCACGCATAGATGCCGCCATATGTCTCTGTAAAATTCCACTCTCTCAAATCCCTCATTGAGAAAACGTGAAGGACAATATCTTTAACTGGGTTTCTTCTAGATTGCACGATTTATGCAGCCGTCAATCATTTGACACGGTTGGTTAGTTAGTTAGTCAATCAATCTTGGGTTTTGCTGGGTAATTTCGCCCAATCTTCTTGGGTCCTGAATTCAGTTGATCACTCCAAAGGCGAGAGTTTGATGGCGCTTGGAATTGTAAAAAATGCAATTACTATATTGGCACGAGCAAAAATGTAGTCAAATACAATGATGTTTGCCTTGAGTCAATGTTGATTGTTGATGGTTTGGAAGGTTCTTTGACTCGAGAGTCATTGTTGATTGTTAATGGTTTCGAGGGTTTTTAGAGCCCAAATACTGTGTGTATATTTGACTTCAGTTAATGTTGATTGTTAATGGTTTCGAAGGTTCTTTGAGCCCAAATACAATGAATACATAGGGGCCAATCATGACTCCCTATGCATCCTTTGCTGGTTTAGCAGTGCCGGCTGCTGTATCTGTAAACACTGCAAGTTTTGGAAACTTTGGACATGAATTTTATGCGTTTTTGATTCTCTGGAGATGGTGAAAAGTCAACTTCAGGAGGGTCCTTCCGGATCATCTGCTCAAGGATCAAAAAGAGGGCCTAACATAGAGTAGAAGTACTTTACTAGGGACTATTATATTCCAATTTTAGTGTCTGCAATTAGGGGTGAGCACCGGCCTCGGGTAGATCCTAAAATCGAACCGAACCAGGAAAATGGACCGTGATAACCCTAATTCTCTCTTTTTACTCTTTCATTACATTTTGTTGCCGCCTCTGGCTCCTTGCTTGTGAAGCTAAGGAATTTCACGGCTGCTTCATCATGCCTAGAGGACAAAGTTAAGTTTTGACGGCATAAGACGATGGAAGTTGCTAAGAAATTAGAAGAATTTGCCAAAAAGATGTTTCTTTGTGAGATACATGAAGTTGACGGGTGGGGCTCATATTCTCCTAATCCGTTTAGTCGATAAAACCAGTGTTTAATAATGATGGAGTATTGAAGCATTGAGATTATGTTGGCCACCTGTCGCCATCAACTTTGAACTTTGTAGGTGAATATTTAAAGAGTAATGAAACAAAACAAAAGCAATGAACTGCCATATTCGATTTCGAGGTCCACAGGATAGGTTTTAGGTTTAAAAAACAGAGAACTGTTCCTAACGTGATAGATTTCAGGGTAGCTATGTTGATTAAGAAGAACCTAAATTTGCTTAGTATGTGACTCTATCGGTTCTCTATTGTGAGGGTTGTTTTCTAGTGGTGATTCGGATGTTTGGTCGCCAAAGTGGGCATTTTAATCTCGATCACTTTCATTGTAATCACTAAAATATATGGCTCTGGCAAAATACTTTTCACGTGGACATAATTAGGGGTGAACACGGTTCTAGGGTAGAACCGGAAACTAGGGAATTGGTCCGATTCCAGGTTCTAGGGAGGGAGGTTCCGATTCCCGGTTCCAAATTTTTAGGAACCGGAAAGGGAAGCGGATCAGGAACCCTAAATCCCTAATTTTCTTCCTCCATTCCTCGATTTGCTTTCTTTTCCTGTATGAAGATGGGGGCCAAAAATACTAAGGCTAAGCTTTAGAGACTTAAGACCTAGCCTTTTACCTTTTATTTTGTTGTGGCTTCGTATGCCATTAGATAAATGCCGTATGCTCTGTCTGTTGTAATCGTTTCTCTCCTCTTGGGAACCCAATTTAATGAGCTTAATTCTACAAGAACGTACTTGATGATTAATTTCCGAGCTTAGTCCATGTTGAGTACCAGAGTGTGAGTTTGAGCATAGTTTATTTGGAATTGGGAAAAGACCACCAAAAATCCCAAACTATACCACTTGTGACAAATTTACCCTGAATTTTTTTTTGTGATACCAAAAACTTTAAACCATGTCATTTATGATACATTTACCCCACAGTACTTCGGCCTATGAGCATTTTCGTCTTTTTTGCTTTTTCTTTTTTTTTTCCTTTTTTTTTCCTTTCTTCTCTTCCCTCCACCAGCCATGGCGGAGGGAAGCCAGTGAGGGCCGCCCGACACCGGCGAGGGCAACCCTCGCCTGTGTCGGGTGAGCATTGCCCTTGCCGGGGCGAGGGTCGCCCCTGCCGACGTCGAGCAAGGGCTGGCGAGGGTAGCCCTCACCGGCTTCCCTTCGCCATGGCCGGCGGAGGGAAGAGAAGAACGGACAAAAAAAACAAAAAACAAAAAAGACGAAAATGCTCATGGGCCAATGTACTGTGAGGTAAATGTGTTACAAAATGGCATAGTTTGGAGTTTTTGGTGTCACAAAAAAAAGTTCAGGGTAAATTTGTCACAGGTGACATAGTTTGGGATTTTTGATGGTCTTTTCCCTTTAGAATTTGTGGGATTGATAGTTTACAATTTACCTGTTCGGTTTTATTGACAAAGAGAGTAATTAGAAATTCGTCTTCAGAAGGGAAAAGAGAGATGATACTTAGCTGAAGAGCGTGGAATGTCTACATATACAATCATAAGTAGGTTTGAATTGTTTAAAGACTACATTTGACCTGTATACATATATAAACGTAATTTTAAAAATGAACTAATACAATAGCTCTTGATTTTTTTTTGGTTGACTGAATCAATGAGAAGCTTTCATTTTTAATGTTGTGATCATTTTCGTTTTCCTTACCTAAAAATGAAATAAAAAAAAATCTGTTAGACCTTGGAATCAATCCTAGAACCGGCGACGGAGTAGATTCTAAGTTTCAAGTTTCGACGGTAGATTCTAGATTTCAAAAAATGGGGAACCTGTACCCACGAATAGGTTCCAGGTTCCAAGAACCTATATGGAATCTAAAACCGCTCACCTCTAGAAATTCCGACTAATGCACAACTATGTTTTTACACACGGACAATGGCAAACTCTGCTAAGTGGAAACCCACTCCCAACAAACAAACAAAATATATGTAATACCCACAATTCGTTGATCCCACATAACATGGCCAATATCCCTTAAATAAATATTGACTTAAGATCAAGTCCCAATCTTATCCGAAATTTTTTTGTCTCATAAACAATCGCCAACTTTCATTACGTATTAAAATTTGGACCCATGAACTTTCCGTCTAATGATATGGTTAAGATCCTCTGTGTCAATTCCACATATCCATTACCTCCGTGCTTGTAGCTGATGTGGATTTAAGACGGGAAAGTTACCAAAAAAGTCATAAACATATATTATAAGGATAATAATTCAATCTTAAACCTTTCAATTACCGAAAATACTACGTCAATTTAGTCCTGAACTCTTCAACAATGACCAGATTTGCCAATGTTTCGTATCATTGTCCTGCATCAATGAAATTGGTTCCTGATGATTTCAAACCTCCAAGACCTTTCGAGTTCTTTAACCTCTATTGTTTAAGCACTCGACTTGACACACATAATCATTTTTATCTCTGTTTCTTTCCTTTGGGCTATCACAATTTTCACGTGGATCATAATCTAAGAATGGAAAGTGAAATCCTGGCCGCTTAAGGTTTTTAATTATTGTTTAAGCACTCAACTTGACACACATAATCATTTTTATCACTGTCCCTTTCCTTTGGGATATCACAATTTTCACGTGGATCATAATCTAAGCATGGAAAGTGAAATCCCAATTCATGCATGACCATGTTTTCTCGGACACGGACAGTGACAAACTCTGCTCAATGGAAACCCACTTGCCCACTTGCGCTTATCAATGTCATATGTAGATGTCGTTTGCTCCCGTGGATTTTAAGAAACTACGCCGTTTCGGTCTTCCACTTCCTTCCGCGCCCGAGCTCCGCCTCGTCGCTCTTCATCATCTTCGTCGCACTGATGCACTCGGCCACAGCTTCCGGCGCTCACCCATCACCACCCAGAACTCTGACAGTGAGAGTTCAAATCTTGATCGTCCATTCCTCTTCAGTACACCACCACTCTTACAAGACGTGGTTGCTCTCAAACTTTGCCCGTACCTTTTTCTCAATCACACTATTTATCGTCTAGGCGGGTATGCGCCTATGCCGCCGTGTGTCTCCGTAAATTCTCACTCTCTCTCAGATCCCTCATTGAGAAAACATTCGGAGTGCGTTCGTTTCACGGAAAAATCACGATTTGAAAAAAAATTTCCGAAAAATAATGGCTTGTATCACTTACAAAACTAAATTAATGAAAACTATTTTCATCACCCACGAAAATAGTTAAGCATAAATTGTTATCAATAATGAAAACACTTTCCATTGACTAATTTTTCTAAGCGATATAATCAATCATTTTTCAAAAAACATTTTCCAAATCTTGAATTTTTCGTGAAATAAACGTAACTTTAGAAGAACAATATTTTTGAGTGGGTTTCTTCTAGATTGCACGATTTAAGCAGCCGTCAATCATTTGACACGGTTGGTTAGTTAGTTAGTCAATCAATCTTGGGTTTTGCTGGGTAATTTCGCCAAATCTTCTTGGGTCCTGAATTCAGCTGATCACTCCAAAGGCGAGAATTTGATGGCGCTTGGAATTGTCAAAAATGCAATTACTATATTGGCACGAGCAAAAATGTAGTCAAATACAACGATGTTTGCCTTGAGTCAATGTTGATTGTTGATGGTTTGGAAGGTTCTTTGACTCGAGAGTCATTGTTGATTGTTAATGGTTTCGAGGGTTTTTAGAGCCCAAATACAGTGTATATATTTGACTTGAGTTAATGTTGATTGTTAATGGTTTCGAAGGTGCTTTGAGCCCAAATACAATGTATACATAAGGGCCAATCTTGACTCCCTATGTATCCTTTGCTGGTTTAGCAGTGCCGGTTGCTTTATCTATAAACACTCCAAGTTTTGGAAACTTTGGACATGAATTTTATGCGTTTTTTATTCTCTGGAGATGGTGAAAAGGCAATGTCAGGGGGGTGGTTCCGGATCATCTGCTCGAGGATAAAAAAGAGGGCATAATATTAAGTAGAATTACTTTACTAAGGACTATTGTATTTCAATTGTAGTTTTTGTGACTAGGAGTGAGCACCGGCCCCAAATAGACTCTAGAACCAAACCGAATCGAACTGAACCAGAAACTGCACCATGATAACCTTAATTCTCTCTTTTTACTCTTGCATTGCATCTTGTTGCCGCCTCTGGTTCCTTGCTTGTCAAGCAAAGGAATTTCACGGCTACTTCATCATGCCTAGAGGACAAAGTTATAAAAATCTTCGGCTAGATAAAAAAGGTTGCAATGGCATAAGACAATGGAAGTTGCTAAGAAATTAGAAGAATTTGTCAGAAAGATGTTTCTTTGTGAGAGACATGAAGTTGATGGGTGGGGCTCATATTTTTCTAATCCGTTTATTTGATAAAACCAGTGTTTATTAACGATGGAGTATTGACGCATTGAGATCATGTTGGCATCAGCTTTGAACTTTATAGGTTAATATTTTAAAGAGTAATGAAACCAAAGAAAAAAAAAAGAGAATCCTCAGGTTCGGTTTCAAGATCTGCAAGGTATGTTTCATATTCCAAAAACTAGGAACCGGTCCTAACGGGGTAGGTTATATTCATCCTGGAACTGCTCACTCTTGTATGTGACTATAAATTGTTATAACAGAACCTGATTCGATTTTTTGATTACTTTGCAGTCATTGGAGAAATGTGACTTGAGGGCTGTCGCTGAATAAAAATGCATCTTTGGTCAAGCCTCTCTTTCGGAAAGTGGCATGCTATCCGTATCAGCTGTGCTGCTTGTGAAGAACTTAAGTCTGGTTCTTCACATATTAATTCATGATCTCACGCTACCGCTATGCTTAGTATGTGACTCTTTCGCTTTTCTGTCGAGAAGGTTGTTAAGTGGTGATTCGGATGTTTGGCCGCCAAAGTGGGCATTTTAATCTCGATCACTTCCATTGTAATCACTAAAACATATGGCTCCGGCAGTATACTTTTCACGTGGACATACCCTAGCATGGAAAGTGAAGTCCCAACTAATGCATGACTAGGTTTTTAGACACCGACAATGACAAACTCTGCTCTGTGGAAACCCACTCCCAACAAACAAATTATACGTAATACCCACATTCCCTTATCACACATAACATGGCCAATTTCCACACAGCTGCCGGCGCTCACCCATCGCCGCCCAGACCTCTCGCGACTTGTTAAGAGAAATTCAACTGAAGACAATGGGCAACAGTGAGAGTTCAAATCTTGATCGTCCACTCCTCTTGAGTACAACACCACTCTACAGAATGGGGTTGCTCTGAAACTTTCCCTGTATCTTCCAAAAGCTTTCTCGATCACATTATCTATCGTCTACTCAGGTACGGGTCGATGCCACCGTGTGTCTCTGTAAATTTTCACTCTCTCTCAAATCCCACATGGAGAAAACGTTTGAGAAAGGAAGATCTTTTTTATCTTTATATCTTCAGGATTGTTTGATTAATGTAGCTGTCAATGTTAAGTCAGTCAATCTTGGTTTTTATCGGGTAATTTTCGCCCAATCTTCTTGGCTGTCCGTCCTGAATTCAGTTGACGAGTCCAAAGGCGAGTCGATGGCTCTTGGAATTGTCATAATGCAATCACTAAATTGGCACGAGCAAAAAATGTGGTTAAAAACCTTAGATATTTTTGGTTGGTTATGTTTCTTTTTCGAGCCCAAATAGAACTATTTGTTTGGCTTGAGTCAATGTCATGTTGATTGTTAATGGCTTCCATGTCAATGTCATGTTGATTGTTGATGGTTTCCGTGTTGAATCTCCTTTGGACCTTCCATTTCTGCGGTGGGGCCAATCTCGACTCCCTACGTGTTCTCTGCGGGTTTAGCAGTGCCGGGTGCTGTACCTATAAATACCGCAAGTTTTGGAAACTTTGGACATGAATTTTACGTGTTTTTGATTCTCTGGAGATGGTGAAAAGGCAACTTCAGCAGGGTGGTTCCGGATCTTCCGCTCGAGGATCAAAAAGAAGGCCTAACATTAAGTAGAATTACTTTACTAGGGACCATTGCATTCCAATTTTAGTGTCTGTGACTCTGTATTACTATAACAGACCTGATTCGGATTCTTGATTACTTTGCAGTCATTGGAAAAATGTGACCGGAGGACCGTCGCTGGGTGAATTTGTACCTTTTGTCGAGCCTCTCTTTCGGAAAGTGGTATGCTATGCGTATCAGTCACTAGCTCTGTTGCTTGAGAAGAACTCAAGTCTGGTTCTTCACAAATTCATTGATGATTTCGTACTACTGCTCTGCTTAGTATGTGACTCTTCGGTTTCTTAAATAGGATATCGTGATTCATTTATATGGCTTAGTGATGTTCGGTCAGCATGTCATGGATGTAGTTCGGATTTCTAATGAGAAGGTTGCTTCTTATGGTGATTCAGACGTTTCTTATGGTCACTTCCAATGTAATCACCAAAAAGTATGACTCAGGCAAAGTACTTTTCATCACAGAGATGTGCAGGGCTTTGTCCATGCCTTGTTTCTTATGAAAGATACTTCATGAAGTCCTGATTTGCTCCACTGTTTTATATTAAGAATGTTTCAATTATTTGTTTCTGAAGTGATTTGTTTGTTGGGTTCATTTACATGGATTAAAGATCTGTGAATCCTGTTCTCATAACTAAATTCCAAACAAAAATGACATATTCGTTGCCCCTCACCTCTTTTTTTTTATGAAAGGAATGAATCTTTTTATCGAACGATCAAATGACTACTTCCTTTTTCTAGTTATTAATTTTGATTGCTATGATATGCAGAAGTTCCCTGTATTTGTAAACATCTCACACTAGGAACGTAAGATTTTCCCTGCGTGTGATCTAATGAAATCACCTTTTCGGATCGTGATGCTAAACAGGACGAAACTATTGTATAGTTAAAAAATTCACTTTGAATCTGATTTACATTCTGCATCAAGCAGGTTAGTGAGGAAGTGGAACGTGTGATGTCACGCTTCCATGATCCATCGTTAAGGTCAGTGTTCCTTGTATTTCTGCATCAACCTCCAAGGTTGGTTCCCAATCAAAAGAGGCCATATTGATCTTGTTTCGTATTAGTATTTTCATACTAGACACACTACTCTGGTTTCAAGTACAAGATAAGTTATTTTCTGACATCGTATCGACACTTCAACATCCCTTATGCACAGAGAACTTACGTATTTCTAGTTTATATCGCAGAGCTCTGTCTAATCCTGTTGGAACTTCTGAAGAAAGCAGTCTGCGACTGCAATTTGTTAACAAATTACCGACAACCATCTTCACAAGCAGTCAGATAGAAGCCGAGGATGGTACTCCTCTGATGATGGAACTAGTAGATGGCAGGACAAATGAGAGGGTTACAAGTGGGCCCCTATCTTTGATAAAGCTCGAAATTGTAGTCCTTGATGGCGATTTTGGGTCGGACGAGGGAGAGGATTGGACCGAGAAGGAATTCAATTGCAATATCGCTCGTGAAAGGGAAGGGAAAAGGCCATTGATGACTGGGGAGCTCACTGTGATCTTGCAAGGAGGAATTGGTTGCCTCCGTAATTTAATCATCACCGACAACTCGAGCTGGATGAGAAGTAGGAAATTCAGATTAGGAGCTCGAGCTGTTCAAAAGGTTTCTGCAGAAACGAGAGTAAGGGAAGCGAGAAGTGAAAATTTCATTGTTAAAGAACATCGAGGAGAGTGTAAGTTTGCCTTTCATCTTGACAATATCATTTTGATGTTTGACCATTAATTCCTGATTCTATCTTTGGACCTTAAAAAAACTAAAAAGACTGACAAGTTTTCCTTGTTATGCGCAGTGAACAAGAAGCACCACCCTCCATTTCTGAGTGATGAAGTATGGCGTTTGGAGAAAATAGCCAAAGGCAGCCCTCTACATAAGCGCATGAGTTCGAGAAGAATCAACACCGTTCAAGATTTCCTCCAGCTGCACGAAGTCGATGCGTCCTCTCTAAGAAACGTAGTATCTATTTATCTTCAAGCCGTGCTAATTTCTCTTGTTCTTTACATGTTATTCTAAGCATTATTAACTACCACATCATGCTACTTATTTTGTGATGTGATGTCATCTCAGATACTTGGCACTGGGATCCCCAAGCGGACATGGGAGACAATGGTCGGACATGCCAGTACCTGTGTGGTCGATGATAACGAGATGTACGCTTACTACCAAGATACGAACAAGGCCAGTATACTGTTCAATTCGGTAATGAAAGTGACTCAAGCAACACTTGACGGCCAAACTTACCAGTCGCTAGACAAATTGACCCACTCTCAGAAGGTACATAATTCACAGCCTGAAACTTTACCATCAAGTACCTTAGTATCAATCTATCTGGAGCTAAAGAGGGGCCTTTATTTATTGGACTAGTTCGTTTATACGGCAGAATTTATTTCATAACCACATCTCTGAAAATTCGTAAGTACTCGTTTGATTTTGGATTCGATCTAATCCGCTGCTCGGTCAACAGATTTTGGTGCAGAACTTAAGAAGGCAAGCTTACTATAGCAAGAATCAATGGGTGCCGCTTGATTACCTACCCAGCATCACTCCTTCGAGAGCCCTGAATTTTGATTTGTCTCCTGAGGAGCTTTTTAAAGTGTCAGCTCCGATCCCTGGCAATTTGACGTGGACACCGGAGCATGCTTTCTGTTGAAGTGTTCATGGATATTTGTCAGAAGTTAGTAGGTGTTCATAAATAAGACATTAGGATTTTGGAAGTGTCTCCATACTCTATAAATAGAACAACCAATGTACTCTTTCATCAAGTTATTGAGTAAAGATGCTGTTTTCTAGTATTTTCTCTCTCCGTCTTTTTTGAAGATTGTGGCTTATCTACATAAAATCAGAGCCACCAAGAGAGCGTGACCTAAATTAAAACCCTAGTTTTATCTTTCTTCTTGCCATCAGTTTGAAAAAAAAAAAAAGACCCTCGTCTCTGCCATCAACTTTTCTACCCTAACACTAAGACCACCACCCTTCATTGTTCCAAGTCTTTGTTTTTCGCCCGCCGATCTTCATCCTCGAGGGCAGCCACAACTGCTCATCTTCAAGAGTAGTGTCATCGTCCTCTACTTGTTGCAGTCTTAGATCTGTTCAGGTTGTCTCTAAGAGCAACTCTATCTCGTGAGTTTTTTGCGACACGAAAATTAGTTTGGGGAAAATGTGGCACAAGTGTACCAATTTGGCGATTTTCGCCATTTTTACTTCTTTTTTATGTTCTTTGTCCTGAAATAGTCTTTCTGCAGCACCTCATCTTTAGAAACTTCCCCAATTTTGGTCAACATTTCAATGCCCACCATGTACGTTATTCGCTGTGGGATTCTCTTTCGATTGCGAGTGTCATTGACAACCAAAGTCGCCTCAACTGTTTAGGTAGCTGTCAGCGCCGGAGTTGAGCACACCTTCATCAAGCAGCCAATGTTGAGCATTGTGGGGTGATGCGGTTTAGTTTGTCGCAGTTTAAGTTGGTTTTCACATGGTTTTGTTAAGGTTGTGTGAGAAAGAGGTGTCAACTCTATGATCATATGCTTCTTCAGCGTTTGTCTTAAATCGGGTTCAAATTGGGTGTTTTGGTTGCAAACTTTGGAAAAGATTTGCACGTGTCCTGTGCAAGTTAAATGCTCCGGTTTAAGAAGGAAGGGTTAGGAGCATATTTATGGATATTAGTCGAAAGTAAGTAAGTGGTCATAAGTGAGGACATCAAGGTATTGTTAGCTTCTCTTACTTTATAAATAGAGCCATCAACGTACTCTTTTATCAAGTTATTGAGCAATATGTAGCCTCTGAGTATTTTATCTCTCTCTTGAAGATCTCAGAATATTTACACTTTCTGCCAAGTGTCACGGACCGTGATTCTCTCGTACTCTTGTACCCTTGTTAGTGATGCTCGGGGTTATCGGGTGAAGAGTAAGGACGCAGAAGGGATGAAGTACAACTGGGTCGTGGAAGTGGCATCAAGACGGTTGGTGCTAGGAGTTCTAGGATGGAACGAATATATCGTAGGAGCTCTGAAGGCGGGTTTGGCCTCCCGTGCACAAACTGGTCGGGAGCTGATGCCGCTCTCCTGATGAGGCCATGGCAGGCCGAAACCAGTTGTCGTACCGGAAGTATTCTGTGTATCTCGCTCGATGGACTAGGCTCCCGAGCCAAGCTGGGCGTGGTATGACTCGATACGAAGAAGACATTCGCCGTGTTGCTCTTGGGAACAGCTAGTGAACGATGGCTGGCCTGGTGCGTTCGGCGCGCCAGGCGCCTCACGGGCTATTCCGCGGCCAAGGAACCGTCGGCCCGTGACAAGTGGTATCAGAGCAGAATCCCTCCAGTAAGTGAGTGAGTCGCAGAAAACCTGTGGTCTACCCGGTCCTACGTGGGCGGAGAGTGAATCGCCGGAGTAAAAGCTCGGACAAAGTGCGGCTCTCGACTTGCTCCTAGGATGAACAGGGGCACGGGAAAAGAACTGATTCCTCACTGAATAGGGAAAAACGTTCCTGGATCAATTTGGCGAGTCTGAAGATGAGTCTACTATCACGTTATCAACAAGGAGAAAAACCTCCATTGGTCTGAAGCCACCGGTGGAGAGAAGTTGTTTTGTTGGGCGAGCGTCCACCACTCGTGTAAGTCCCCACAGCGGCATTGATGGTGACACCACTCGTGTAAGCCCCCACAGCGGCATTGATGGTGAGAATTGACGCAAGGAAGCGACAGAACAGCCCACAACGAGGACGTTGCGGAATTGAGTGGGGGAGAATGTCACGGACCGTGATTCTCTCGTACTCTTGTACCCTTGTTAGTGATGCTCGGAGTTATCGGGTGAAGAGTAAGGACGCAGAAGGGATGAAGTACAACTGGGTCGTGGAAGTGGCATCAAGACGGTTGGTGCTAGGAGTTCTAGGATGGAACGAATATATCGTAGGAGCTCTGAAGGCGGGTTTGGCCTCCCGTGCACAAACTGGTCGGGAGCTGATGCCGCTCTCCTGATGAGGCCATGGCAGGCCGAAACCAGTTGTCGTACCGGAAGTATTCTGTGTGTCTCGCTCGATGGACTAGGCGCCCGAGCCAAGCTGGGCGTGGTATGACTCGATACGAAGAAGACATTCGCCGTGTTGCTCTTGGGAACAGCTAGTGAACGATGGCTGGCCTGGTGCGTTCGGCGCGCCAGGCGCCTCACGGGCTATTCCGCAGCCAAGGAACCGTCGGCCCGTGACACAAGCCTGTTGCTATGCAGATTTGGGGATCTGTCCATCTGGCAGGAGTTCCGGAGTCTGCAATTCTGAGATTTCAAGGCCTAAGGCGGCATGGTGCAAGGTCCGTTCAGTGGTGGAGTGGAGATCGGTTCGGCGCATTGTGGCTACAAAGAGAACAGCAATGTCCAATTGTGCACATTATTTAGCTGAATACATTGAAAGTGCTGAGCGCGAAGCTCTTCCACACAAGCTAATCATCACTTGCAAAGCATGATGATTGACACGTGATGATTGACTTGGGTGGATGAGAGCGTCTTATTCGGAAAGAACCAAGTTTCTGCAAAGCATCTAAGGATAAAGCTGCCCTAGATGCATTGGTATTATTCACGATCATTGCCATTTTCTCTTCTATTTTTTCTTGATCAACCTTTCATTTTTGAATGAAGTTATGTACCGTCAACCTGGGGCTGCCAATAAAACTGGTCTTCTTTGTATAGATCACCCAAGTTGATCTGATAAAGTACCTCGATACAAGAGGTTCTTCTTCAAGAAGTGTTTGGCAGAATGTTTGTCCCAACCCTTCATATCTTGATTTATTAGTTTATTGCTCTGATATACCTCAGCAGATTTTTATTTGCTTTACACAATTATTTTCATTTATTTGTAATGTAATATTCTGACCATTAGAATGACAAAGCCCAGAATCTTGACAGTTCCATAACAATCCACCATGTGCCTGTACACTGGTATCTAAGACCGCTTCGAGATATCACTTATGCTAATTAATCTATGTACATTTTAGCATCTACTATTTTTCAGTATCTTTCGATGACAGAATTATGCATCTGCGTTTTACTCTCATTCAATGGCCAAAAGGAAAATTCCTTTCCTAGTTCATGCTGTCAAAGTCAAGTGAAAATACGATTGTTGGTAGAGAAGTTGGCATTGGACTGGCCGTCTCGAATGCTGCTAGCTTACCGGATCAAGCTGACTGCATGATGAAATCCAACCAGATCCAATCATGTCAGTAACCCTGAGACGAGCTACCATCGGGTCAAATGACTTTTAATCGGTCAATGCTCTAGAGACCAGAGGAAAATGAATCTAGCTAGCTCACCAACGGTCTTTTTCAGGAGAAAGCTGTTAAGCATGGTTTGGCTCTAGGCATCACCTGACATGAAGCACGAGAGGAACAAGTTTTGTAAATAGAGCGAGAGAGCTCCAAAATCTTGTCTTAACTAACTTGAGACTTTATTTTCCAGAAAATCATTTTTTGGTGAGAAAAGAGATGAACTTCCTTTTGCTAAATTAAGAATTTTTATCATTGAAACGCATGCAAGACGTGCAAATTTTCCTATTTTCGTAATTAAAAACACTTATTTAATTCACGGAAAAAATTGGAAGGGAAGCCAAGCAGTATGAAAATAATATTTAAAGTTTTGAATTTGTAGAAGAAAGCATAACAGCAATCTAGCACGTTACACATGTTTTCTGGAATTTTTTTTTTTTTTGGTCAAGGTTTTCTGGATTTTAATTGGCAATTATTTACAACTCCCATGAAACTTTTATGGTTTAAATTGCCTCGATCCATCCGAATATTTTGCACAAATCCCCGAAGAAAACGCAAACAGAAGAAGGTTTGAGTTCATTTGTCATAAATCTACTGCAGTAGATCATTACACGCCAATGCACACTATCCTCTTGTGTTGACCAAATGGAAGCCTGAACTGCAAAGTTTGAAGGTCTGTGATGTGAAAACTATTATTTGGGTTAAGCTACAGAGAGATCCTCTGTATCTTATGACATTGGAGAGCTTGAGTTACATAACTAATAGTTCCATTGGTGTGTGTGTGCTACGAGAAATGGGACAAGACTTTCTTATGCAAAAGATCTGTGTTGAGGTGGTTTTTGTCTTTAATTAATTGCCTAGGAATGTTGCTGTGTTGTTGGACGAAAATAAGATGGTTAAAGTCACGGTGGAGTACCTTGGGGGTTCTAGAGAATGTGCTAATTGCTCCAGATATGGCCATTTTTCCAAAGAAAAAGAAAAGTTCGAAATGGATTCCTGAAAAGTGTCTTTCCTTGAGAATTTGGCTGATATGTCCTCTCCTAAGATTTTCACAATCCAATGCTATTACTAGAGTTCTCTGTGAGGAGGGTGTGACTAGATGATCAGTTTGTAGTACTATCCTCTGTTGATGTTCAGAAGGAAGAAGAGGAAGTGCTTGACATGTTGACTGAATTAGAGGAGGCTTCCGTCGCCTTTGATAGTTGATAAGGATGGTGCTATTACATCTGGAGATTTTAAACTTTCTCAAAAGAAGGCTAGGGCTGCTGCCATTACTGCTGGTGAGGTGTGGAACAAAGTCATTCATCAGAGAGGAGGTAGAAGGAAGAACACTAATCTGGAAGCTGAGTTGAAGAAGCTAGATGGTACGTCTAGCTCCTCAACTCTTTCCTCGTGAATATTGTATGCTGGAATTTGAGAGGTTTTAAGCGCCATGAGCAAAGAGTTGTTAGGATCTTGTTAGAAAAAATGATGTTCAATTGTCTTGTGTTTTAGAAACTTAGAAATGCCACTCAAATTGTTAATAGCATTTTCTCTGATTGGT